TGGCTCCCTATTACCGCTAATATCAAATATTATTTAACCTTGATCCTAATCTTTAATTTATATTTATGTCTTTTATATTTTACATGACTGTTAATATAGTAGTACTGCATATAATCTATAAATAAGTAAATACACATATAATAGGGTTCATGAGACTCCAAAAATGTCTGAAGATCACTGCTCTAGGAAACACTGAAATCCCAATATGGCGGAGCTGGGGATGAGGTCATCTATTCTAGCTTCATTATTCTAAAGAGGAGAAAATTGTTGGAGACAAGAGGAAAAAGGATTGGTCCAAGGTGATACAGCTTTTGCATCACAGAGCTTGGAGTCAAACTCTTTTTTTTGTTTTGTTCATAAATATATTCTTGATTCTTTTTACCCCATGGTTACCATCGCTTCTTGGCACCCTTACACTGCCCCCAAAAGAACCTTCCATGTGACAAAGCAGAGTTGAACAGACCCCCAGCATGGCGGCTGTGTATGCCAACTTGTGCCTCGTTACAACCCCATGGTCCACTACTCTCAGCTGAGATGCAGGGAGCATGCTTCCCCTTCGCTTCACCAAATTTCCAACTGGTTGTTGCAAGGAGCAGAGTTCTAAAGTCTTTCACTCTTGTCTTCCTCTAAGTTCTTGAGGTCACCACACCAAGCATTCCTCCATTTCTTCCCATTTCACTCTACATTGGTCCACACAAGTCTTCCGACATCAGCCCCAGTCTCCAGTTTGCACTCCAAGCCCTTCCCCACCTCACGCGTCCTGAGCTTCTGCTGGGTAGGTGGATGGGTGTCGAGCACGTATGGAGCACTTACGGAGCACTTACTGTGTGTGAGGCGCTGTGTTAAGCACCAGAGATACACATAGGAGCTCCAAGGAGCTTCCGTTCTCCCAACGCAGGAAGACAGCACAGAAAAGGGGGAAGAGGAACAGCGACTCCCCCCCAAAGATGGCTGTTAATGAGCCCGGGAGAGGCTCTGCTGAAGCCGTCCTCCCACCACCTGCATGTGATGTGAGCCACCCAGCTCTCTGACCACAGTCTTGGTCTTAGGAACTGGGCTGGTCTGGACAAAAGGGAAGCTGCAGTCAAGATGGAAGAGTCATAGCCAAAAATAACAACAGGGCAAGCCCCCAGACATCCACTTTAGGGAGGGAAGGTTCAGGAGAGAAAGAAGCCTGAGAGACACAAGCTAGGAAGTGGAACTCTCATTGTGAGAGAACCCGCAGACCCCAAAGGCTCTCGTCTCAACCACCTGGCGAGATGATTAGCAGGGCAGGCTTCCTTCACATCATTCATAAGTGTTATCATTAGTTCTTAAGCAGGGTTGGGAAAGACATTCACAGCAGTGCTTTTCGTGGGAGGAAAAGCCGAGGAACAGAGAGGATGCCCATTAAGTGACGAATGGACAAACAAATCGTGGTACGTGACTCTAGGTGCCCCATGGTCACTGCTCAGTCGGTTGGCCTGTGCGGTTTTCCTCTTCTACAAAAGAGGTTTTGTTGGGCTGGGGTGGGGCTGTGTACCAGACACTGATGAGATATAAACATAAAAGGCATCAGTGAGACAGATGTGAAAACTTGGCTGAGCACCTTAGAAAATCCAGACTGAGAGTCTGGGGTGAAGCGCCCCTCCCTCTCAGGCCCTCAGTGTCCTCCTCCCTAGATGAGGAGGCTGGATTTGACCTCAGGTCCTTCCCACCTCCAAGTCCCATGAGCCTGCAGAGTTACCCCACCTGACGTCACTGCACAAACCCACCATTCATCCCAGGGTATCCAATGGTACCCGGTAGGCACCTCCTGCATACAGTATCTACCAAGCACAGGTTGGTGGCAATGTTTTCTTGAACCTATGAACAGGGTTGGGCGGGGTGCGAGAGGCGGCACGGTATCATAGGTAGAGTCAGGAAGGCCTGGGTTCCGGTCCTGCACAAGTCGACTAACCTCTCAGTGCCTGAGACTCAGCTGCGGAACAGGCACCATTTGCATCGGGAGAAGGTCCTCCTCAGGTTGCTCCCTATGCCAGAGGGTCACAGGTCCAGTCCAAAGGAACCAAAATGGAGCAAGACTTTGGACCAAGCTGCCCCAACATCAGCACTGAGGCCGGCAGTAGGCTGGCGGCTGCGAGATTGGGAGCATGTGGATGCTTTCTACTTCAAACCTCCCAATGGAACCAGGGGCTTGCACTGGGGACTTCACCCCAACTTTGCAGACCCCAGCCCCTCCACGCCTACTGCCCCTGGGCCTCCAGATCGCCACAGAGGGTCCCTTTGACGTGCTGGATTCCTCCTGATACGGCGAGGGCGTCAGGGAGCACCCTGACCATTCCCCGTCCCCTCGTCATCCCTCACTCTCATCTTGTGGGTAGGCCATCTTTTCTTTCTGTCCTTCAAATCTGTACTCATGTTCTTCTTTGGAAAAGAATTCTACTTCACAGAGGGTCCGGGTTTTATGAATCTCTCCCTCCTCCCCCTCCTCCACATTTCTCTCTCCTTTCTCCCCCCCATGTCTCTCTCTGTGTCTCTCTGTATCTCTCTTTCTGTGTCTGTCTCTCCCTCTCCCCCTTACACACACACACACACACACACACACACACCCTCACCCGTTCCCTCTCCAGGTATTGGGGAGAAAGAGCGTGGCAGTGGAAGGAATGGCATTCAGAAGCCGACTCTGGGGCCAATCACACTCAGTTCCAAGGAGGGAATTTGGATGGGAATTTCCAAAAGGAGACTCGGTGCGCATTGCCTCCCCGGAGCGCCGGGGTATGAGCACAGAATGGTGAAACGGATGCTCGATTCGGGACGGAGGACCTGGGTTTCAACCCTGGCTCTGGTCCATGTTGCCTCTACACCTTCGGTCAGGGCAGTCGCCTCCTTTGGTCCTCAGCCTCCTGCTCCAGACGACCTCTGGGGTCATCTAGTCCAAGGTCCTTGGGAGAGTCTGGTTAGACCGAGGTCCTCTCTCTTCCCCTGGGGAAGGGAAGATGGCACATAGAAACACCCAGAATGACTGTTGTCATTGTCGTCGTTGATGGCCCACTAGGTGGTGCCATAGTGCACAGAGTGCTGGGCTCGGAGTCAGGAAGACTCATCTTCATGGGTTCAAATCCAGCTCAGACACTTACTAGCTGTGTGACCCTGGGCGGTCACTTCACCCTGTTTGCCTCAGTTTCCTCATCTGTAACATGAGCTAGAGAAGGAAATGGCCAACCCCTCCAGCATCTTTGCCAAGAAAACCCCAAATGGACTCATAAAAAGTTGGACACGGCTGAACAACAGCAAAAGCACCTACTACACTAAGCTCTGGGGAGACCACAGGCAAAAGGTGGTCCCTGCCCTCAAGGAGCTTACAGTCTGATGGAAGAGACAACAAACAGGCAAATATGTGCAAACAGGCTACAGGCAGAATAAACGTGAGAGAATGGACAGAGGGAAGGCACTAGGGTTGGGGAAACTTCCTGCAGAAGGTGGGGTTTTAGTTGGGGCTTAACGGAAGTCAGGGAGGTCAGTGGACAGAGCAGAGGAAGGACAGCCTTCCAGGTAATGGGGGACGGCCAGAGAGAAGGCCCAGAGCCAAGAGAGGGAGCATCTTGTTCGTGGAAGAGCCAAGAGGCTGGTGTCACTGGACCGAAGGTCAGGAGGAAGGCTCCAGAAGACCAGAAAGGGAGGGGAGGGCTAGGTGATGAACGGCTCTGAATGCCAAACACAGCATTCGGATTTGATCCAGAGTTTACTGAGTAGGCGAAAAGGTGCACGATCAGAGCTGTGCTTCAGGAAAATCACTTAGGTGGCTGAACTGATCGGAAGATGGACTGGAGTGGGGGAGAGACCGGAGGCGGTCAGACCCACTCCCAGCAGCTCTGGCAATCGTCCAGCTGGAGGTGGGGCGGGGGCAGGAGGGACGCAGCCAAGGTGAAACCGAGAGGCTTTGGCACCATACTGAATATAGGGGGTGAGAGAGAGAGGAGTCCAGGATGACCCCAAGGTGGCCAGACTGAGGGACTATCAGATGACGTCCAAACCCAGGCACACAGAACCAATCGCTCTGTCCGGTGGCAGCAGGAAAAAGCAGCCAAAACAAACAGAAGGACAGTGTGTGCCTGGGGTGGGGCGAGCATGAGTCAGCCCCGGGGAAGAGGCCTGATGCCATAAAGTTGTGGGTATCCACCCTGGCCCAGAAAGCATGAGGAAACAGATGCATTCTGCCTTTTCGTGGAGAGGGGCTGCAGGGACCCCGTGCTGCCCCACGGCGGGCTGGCTGGCTCTGCCATTTGGACAAGGGAAGGCTCAGTGAGACTGGGGAGGAGGGGGAAGTCACCGCGTGTGTGATGTAAAACCAGGAGCCAATTAGACCTTTAAATAAAGAAATGAAGTGTGCTACCCACCCCCGCCTGTCCAGGAGCTGCCTGCATACACATTATCTGCCCCCTGCCCCAGTGCAGAAATCCTTGTCCTGAACTTTCTTCCCGGGACCTCCCCACGGTTTCAACACTCCCTCCATGCAGGTGACTCCCAAACTGGCAGACCACCCTTTCCCTTTCCAGAGCTCCAGTCCTCCATCGCTAAGAGACAAATCCCACTCAGCATATTCAAAATGGAAGTCATCCCCCACCCCACCCCACCCCCCTTCCCTACTTCTGCCACGGGCACGAGACGCCGGTGGCTGGAATGAGCTCGAGGACCGGCACCCTCCACTGCCCACGGTCAGAGAACCCAAGGGGGGCCAACGGCCAAGACAATTCCTCCAGTGGCACCCGAGTGAACGAGAGCAGTCCCTCTCTACACCCAGGGGCCCCTTCCTCTCTCCAGTGAGCTCCCACCCTCACGCTCACAGGGCTAAGCCGCTAGTCTCTAGGCTCGGGTCGCCTTCTGGGGGGCAGAGTGCCCAATGCTGGTGGGAAGAAGAGGAAGAAGCAGGGGCCCGGAAGTTAACAAAAGGTGCGTGATTTTATTTCAGAACAAAGCGCACAACGTAGGAGTTCCACCCATCACCCCCCTCCCCCCCCAAAGACAACAGCCCCACTTTCACATATCGAAGACAAAGCCGAGAAAGCAGGCAGTGCCGGGTACAAGAAGGTGGTAAGCAAGCTCTCTGGTTGCGCAGCTCCCCCTCACCACTGCTGCTTGGTCCCCTCCACTATGCCCCTCCCTCCACTTAACGATCACACCCTCCGAGCCCCGCCAGCATCGGGCCGGCTCCAGAAGGCCCCCTCAGGCAGCCCCATCCGCGGCTGCTCTCTTTAGGCACTTTGGTCGTGGAGAAAGTAACAGAAGTGAAAGTCCGTAAAGTAACTGGTTGGGGGCTTTGGCCCGGACAGCCGCACCACAGTCTAAGTACCAAAGGGCACCACAGACGAGCCATACTAGCGGGTCGCTTGGCACTCGCAGCGATTTCTGGCTTGAACCAAGTGGGAAAGCGAAAAACCGCTGGTCTAACAGATACAAGGATAAACAGGCATTTCAAGCATTGTCGATCAGAGATGACTCAAAGGAAAATCAAGGCAAAGGCCACTTATAAAACACTTCTTCTGGAGCTGCTTCTAAGGTGCATGCCTGGACACCAGAAAGGCATCAGTCTGAGAGTGGCCAGTGAGAAAAAAGGAATGCCCACCACAAAACGGAATGAACTCAAGAACTCTCGAAGTGCCGGTCTTCCCGACGGAACTGAAGATGGTCTTGATGAGGGACAGGAGGGGCTGTCATTCCACAGAACAGCGGCTCCGAGAGAGGCTGGGAGGGTACACGGTGTCCAAACTAAATCAATATTTGGCTTGGCCAGCAAAGCAGAGACAGAGCATGACCTTCTGAAGCCCGAGGGAGAGGCCCATGCGATAACAGCATGGTGACTTTAAAGGGGTCAGCATTCTGAACAAGGCAAAAACAAAGGACTCCCCAAAATCTGGGGGGCGTTTTTAAAAGGACCTTGGAAAGGGAAAGGAAACAAACTGGCAACAGTGAGATCTGACTGCTTTCAGAGCTGATCCACATTGGCTTTTCTAAAGCAATGTGGTGTATGCCTTCTGCAACACGAACAACCGCATGCCCCTGCCCCAAAGGCAAAAAGAATAAACATCTGATCAAGTACACCCTTGCATAAGTACCCAGAGGTCTTTAAATAAAGGGCATATTTTCAAGTTAAAATAAAAATAAAAACATAATACAATGCAGCAGACTAAAGAATGCCATAAAGGTGCACTCCTTGACGTAGGTCAGTCAATACTGAGCAAACGCGCCCACCCTGCAAACAGCCAGAGCATCTCTCCTCCTCCCCCTCGCACTGCTCCACAGCTGCTGAGGCCTCCCCTAACGGGCCTCTTTTGGGGGTGCCCAGCCCGTTCAAATGAAGACCACTAGAGAAGCTGGGCTCCAGGAAGAAGCAGTGAGAAGAAGTCTCTAAATACATCCAAACCAGGTTTGTGCCTCGAGGTGAAACATCCTCCTTTCTCCACCTTTCGAGGGTTTTCTTTGGAGAGAAGTGAAAAGAGCCATCTTTTCCTGTCTCAGCATCAACTGACCTATCTACAACACACTGGAAACAAGCGTGACCACACACTTCCCACACTGCAGCAAGCGGGGTGGCAGCAACTGACAAGTCACGCGGTCAAACCTCCTTCCCTGCACCGTGAGGGATGCCAGCGATCTCTGAGGACCTTCTCATGCTAAGAATTCCTCACTCTCCTACAAACATAAAATGGAGTGGGACACATTATTCGACATTATTCTCCTTCTTGGCTGTGCTGAACACGAATGGTGACGTTTGATTTTCAAGACTAATTCCAGTTAAGCAGGCCTCCTATCTCCTTATCATTTACTCGATTTCACAAACTTTCAGGCCATCGCTGTGTGGCAGGGGAAAAAAGGCCTAAGAACATAACCTTCATAAAAATAAAGTTATGTTTTCTGTGATTTTCCCCAAACTCCATTTTCTTTCCTTTGTCAGTCATCTGCATTAATTAGTAAATTTTTCATCAGATCCCGTGACCTGACCTGATTTTGCCCCACCCCTCCCCCAAGAAACTGAACCTCTTCTAACTGTACCAGTGCCTTGGTGAGTGACTGTGCCACGTGCATCGGTCTGAGGGTGGCCTGCCATCCAACTCCTGACCTTGGCCTTCCTCCCTGTGGTCCAGGACACCTGAGTCAGACGCTGAGACAGGAACGCAAGAATGCCCGGGGAGGGAGCGCACGTTGGCTAAGGACGAGCCTACCCGAACGCAGGCTGGGAACCTTGTATTCGCGAATGGTCAAGTTCACTTCCACAAAGGAACATCCAGAGATATATATATATATAATATATACACACACACACACACACACACACACGCACACACACACGTCTGTGTGAGCGCGACAACGTATACATACGCTCACACACAAACACGTACATGAGGACTGTTTAACAATACTTTAAGAACTAAAAGTGCTGGTGGCATTGAATTCCAAAACTCCCTCCCCATCTGCTGTTTGTTCAACAAATATATATACAGACACATATATACATATATATTTGTTCAACAAAATACACACATATGCATATATATCTGTAATAAAAGTTTCACATGTCTAAGGTGCTTGCATTTTGCACTGCAGAATCAGCTCAACCAACGGCAGCAACCCAAGCTGGGAGTCACCACCCAGGAGGCCACGGCCCTCGGCTGCTAATTCCGGCAATGGGGCATCTGTGGGGCGGGGGCGCCCTCTACAGGCGAAGAGGAGGACACGCTGGTGAGCTGGTCGCCCTGCATCTTCTCGTTGACGCGCAGCTCACAGCCGTCGCGGAGCATGCGCACGGCGATGCGGGCGATGTTCTTGGAGTCGTCCAGGCCGCTGTGGGGCCGCCCGTCGTAGCTCATGCCCAGCTTCTCAAGCATGACGGTCAGCTTGGTGTGGTTCCTCGGAACCTGGAAACAAAGCACAGCGGACTGCTCGTCACAGGCTTCCACGGGAGACTCCGCGAGAACACGCACACGGAAGGCCAGGGCGGACCCCAGGCCTCCCTGCCGGGCCGGAACACAGCCGGGCCTCGGCCACCCCAACCACAGGTGATCCTGGGAAGGGGCTAGTTAGAATAGCAACCAAGTTTATACACGCAGGCACCAAGACAGGAGGAGCCCCCGCGTGCTTCACAGGGACTCCTATGAACACCCATGTCTAAAAGACAGTCAGATGCTGTACCAACCTCTTAAGAAGGATCTGCAGAAAACACAGATAAGAATCGCACAGAATAAGAAGGGATAACCAGCCCCAAACCGAGGGAGTACGCTGAATGGAAATTCTCCTAAAATGCACCGGGGACATGAGAGCATAGCAGCAACTCACATTCACCAAACCGGCAAAAACAAAAACAAACCAGAGAAGCCCCCCAAAAACCCCAAAACAGCAGAACTCAGTGCTGAGGGGCAAGTGATAAAACGGGTACACTCACACATTAACAATGGTATGGAAGGTGGTGGAATCTTGGCAGAAGGAAATCTGACAGTATTCTACGCAAAGAAATCATCCTGTCCATTCCCCGTTTGACCCAATAATCTCACTCACCTCAAAAAATTTTTAAAAAATGCATTTTGTGAAAATATCGATAGATGTAAGAGCTAAACAAGGGAAATAAAGGGTAGCTAGCAGTAGAACCACTGAATGACTCGCAGGACATCAAGGCTGTGGAATATATTATGATGTTATCAGGAGTGACAAATATGAGGACGATGCAGAAGCGTGGCAAGGCGCAGGCCCTCTGGAAAGAACTTGTCTACGCTGTGCTGTGGACCATCAGTTCCACCACAAAAGGAAGAGTGATACTGTGAAAAACAGGGTCAGATTCCTGAACTCTTCCTCAATCTCCACAGGAAATAATTTGAAGTGAAGGATGTCAATTGGTTAGACTCAAGGGTCAAAATCAATTGCTGCTGATGGGGAAATCCGACTGGAAGGAAGGAAGGAGAGATGAGAGGCATCTGTATGAGCTCCCATGAACTCCATGCTCAGGGGGCCTGACTCCTCTGATTTGCAGAGGATCTGAGTCAGAGCGTGCCTGCTCTCCTCACCAACAGAGAGCCCCCAGAGCTGCGAGGCCAGCCCCGGCTCGAGGGACAAGCTCCCGGGGGACGTCCTGGAGAGCCAGCGGCACTCCCCTCCTCGCCAAACAGGAGAGAAAGCCAAAGTGAAGGAAGGGAGCCTCGGTGAGCTTTCCTCACCAGCGGCAGCGGCGGTGGCAGTGGCAGCGGAGACCCTGGGCTTAGGGCTCAGGAAGTAAGGGGAGGATGTACCTTCCAACACCTGAACGGCTGAGCCAAGGGAGGCAAGACGCTCAAAAAAATGAATGGGATTCACTTGAATTCATGACCAGGAGATGATAGGGGCACATGCGTGTACACTCTCTCTCTCTCTCTCTCTCTCTCTCTCCCCTCCCACTCCCTCTAACATGGCTGCGGAAAACAGAAAGCCACAAACCAGACTCACGAGGCTCCTAGAAGGCTCAGCAACAGTTAACAAGAGTAATTTCCTTCTATCTGGACGGGACTCAAAGCAGACATCCATCAGAACAGCGGCCAATGCCGGTCCCCTGAGCTAGCCATGCCAAGTGCCAGAGGGCCCCGATGTCCAGTCTTGGAATCCTTTTCCAAGAGAGCCTGAGAAGTCAAGTCTTGCTTTTTTCCCCAGGCTGTCATGGTAGCAGGTCACCCGGCACCCGGGAGCTGACGTCGCCCACAGAGCTGACAAAGAAACCTGACACCCCGCCCCCGCCCCCTTCTCTCCCAGGGTGGTGACTTGGATCGCATCCGTGGAATGGCCAGGCCTCTGCCGCAGCTCTGGGGAAACGATGATCAGGGCCCTCCCCCCCGGATTCCTCACTCCTCCATCCACACGGGGGCCACCAGGCCGAAGGGAGGGCCAGGACGGCTGCGGCAGCTCGCATACTTCCAATTTGGGAAATGAAAAGTAATACTTGAAAACAGAATCAGCACATCAACCAGAAGCCATTTCTGCAGAGTGAATCAACAAAGGACTTCCTCAACATAAGTATGGCGCATAACAAGTCTGTTAACATCAATAGCATCACTGTTTAACAAAATAAATAAATATTACCTTGTAAAAGTTTCCATATGACTTTCGAATATTGATCCACTTTTTGGCAAAAGAAGGGTATCTGAGCCTGCTGATTTGACACTGAATATTCAGGAACTTACTCATATCCCATGAACTTGGAGGGGAAGGGGGAAAAAAAGGAGAAAGTAAATGCTATACTAGAGGTACAACTAATTCTTTTAAATCATCCTGATTTGCATGGATCTGCTCATTCTGACTTAAATCGCCTTAACTTTTCCCCCGTTTACAGCTAGTCATCATCTCTAATCTCACACCTCTGTAGCTGTAACACCACATTTAATTCCTTCCCTCCCATTTCCTCCCCGCCTCCCCCCCCCAAAATACCAGCTCCCATGAGAACCAGGCTGAAGGGGGCCCAGTCAGGCGGGACAGGGCTGCCCACCTGACCCAGCCTGAACCTCCTGTCTCATATGCCCAACCAGTGGTCACCCGTGCAAAGCATCTGCTCCCGGACAGTCGTCAGACTCACTTCGGACCTACCACATCATCCTTCTTAGGCTGATCCTAATTTCATTAAACACAGGACAGAACATGGCTTTCATGGCTGTCATACATTAGCTTTAACACAAAATGGACACCCATCATGGTAAAATTAGGACCATTTCTGCCATTATTGTTTAAAAAAAAAAGAAACAAAGTGAAAACCACTTACATTTTTTTTAATCAGAAAAAAAGGAGAAAGGGACAAGAGCAGTCAGAATTGAAAGTAGAATACTTAGAAGGCAATTTAAGAAAGCTTTCCCTGCCCTGCTCCGAAGGCCTTCTTCTGTCTCGGTTCCTGACCAGCTCTAAGTCCACCTGCCACAACTGGGCCAATCGGTGTGGAGAAGCCCTTCTGGGACCTGGTTCTTCCTCTCCAGCCTGGACACTACAAGGGCCACCCTGACCCCACTTCCCCTCTTTTGCTGCCCAATTCTGCACTGACTTGGAAACAATGGCTACCACTGCCCTGCTTTTGAGAAGACGAACACAGAACCACAGCTGTCAGACCTCACCGGGTGCCCCGATCCAGGCTCCCCAGAAAACCTCAGGGTCCTCGAGACAGAGGCAGCCTGAGCACCTCCAAAGTCACAACGCTCTTCCTCAGTGTGGACCCTCCGACCAGTGCAGCACAGAGCAGAGCTCGACAACCACCAGACACTATTCTCCGCCACCCAGCCCCCGTCCACTGTGATTTCCTATATATCAGGGACCTCCCTCTATGCTCATATCCCTGGCACCTCAGAGGACGGGGTCTTCCGTCTCGACACACCTCTAGTTCTGAATGCAAACACCAAGCACAGCTATCATTTGGAAAGCCATCTCACTCTGCTGATGCACGTTTCATTTCATGTCCTGAAAGCCCCAAATCCTTTCCAGGCACCTGCTGAGGACAGCACCTCCGACCTGGGGGAGTGACCAGACCCTGGATCAAGAACTGACATCATTCCCTATTAATCCAGGCTCCCTGGACTCTGCCCAGTGCTCTGGTCGGTCCAGACATTTGGATCTCTTTCGGCCACTCACTGAGTTAGCCACAGCGGCCCCCACCTTTGGGTCATCCTGGATAAGCCTGCTCAGCTAGGTCACTAGTCAAGATGGTCAGCCCCAAGGGCCCAGCGGAACCCCCGCCTGCCAAAACGACAGAACCACGAACGACCGCTCTTTGGGCCCAAATACACCTTCACGGACTCCAACCTCGTCCACAAGAACCGCAGGAGAGATGGGCAAATGCACTCTGGTGACCCACTGGTCTCAGTGCGGTCAAAGCAAAGAGAAAGGCCAGTGCCGTACGACCCGCTGGGATCTCTGCTTCCTGCTCCTCATGCTGAAAAGCCAGCCGCCATGCCTCGGGGTAAAAGTGTCATCACACTCAATGCAGCCCCTCCCCTCCCTTCTCCTCCGGCCCACAGTCCTGTCTCGCTGGACCCCGGCTCGGCCGCCCCATCAGTCAGCAGCTCCTCTGGGTCTCAGGTCACCAGAGGCGACGGTCGGTCAGGCACTCTCTGATACCATCTTCCTTCTCATCTTGGGGATCAGCTCCCTGCAACTCAGGACTGCTCTCTCCCGGCCAGGCCACAGACCACCAAGAAGAAGGAAGCTCCTCACTGTAGCTCTGATCCCCTCTTCCGGTCCTCCTCTCTTCCCCCAACCTCATCTCCCTCAGGCCCCAGTGAGCTTCAGCTCTCCTGACACCAGTCTGCTCCCAAACCTCCAATGACTAAGAGACAGAGCCCAGCACCTTAACCTGGCCCTTGAGACCTCTGACACCTGGGCACTCACCTGAGGCCCAGAGAGATGAATGAAAGGACGGGCCTAAAGCCACAAAGGCTTACCCAGCTTCTGTGACCCAAGGCCAGCCTCTTCCCTTGACTCCACCCTGCTCTAACTAAACCAGCCTCTGAGGCCTCACTGCCAGCCCTAGGTTCTGCACAGCCCAGCTGGGGCCCAGCTGATCCTTCCACAAGCCTCCTTTCACTGTAAATGTCCCGCCAGCCTTTCCCCCGGCTGCTCAGCACAAGCCAGGCTTCTGTGCCCCTGCCCCTCTGCTCCCAGGAGGGACCCGCCATGCTTCTGGGGGCCCACGTCTCATCGGCTCTCCGTCTCTGACATCTCTGGTTTCCTCTGCGTCTTCAGGACATCTACTTCTCAATGCTACAGGGTCACCGCTCCCTCCTGCGCACCGGAGGACTCATGTCCTGCATGCCCTCCTGTCTGACAGCACCTGGGGATGTCTGTAGGTAAACGTTCCCGGAAGGACAAGTGACGACTCCGTCCTCAGGGTCCGGGGCCTTAGACGGCTGTCCCCGGTTCCTTCTTCAGCTCCTTCCACACTCCAACCTTCTGACAGAATCAGGACTTCCCTGACTTCCAAACCCCCAGATAAGCAGACACAGAGGCCGTGAGAAAGCATCAACATAAGCAGGGCAGACAGAAAAGTGTGAGGGAAGGTCAGAGGAGAAAGGTCGATGTGGATGTGAGTGTTAGGAGAAAGCTGCACAGAGGAGGCGGGAGCAGGCAGAGGGGAACAAGGAGGGGATGAGGCAGAGGGAGACAGGCACGGGTGCCCCAACAAGCAGGCACTGAGCCACTGAGGAGGAAAGAGCTGGAGCTTAGGAGAGGGAAGAGCGGAGGGACGAGCGGCGTGGCCGCAGCATCCCTGCCACACCACCCCACGCTGACTGGGGAGCTCCCCGTCGCTCATCTGCAGCCGGGGGCTGAGGAGGTCAGGCCACCGGTCAGCCTACGGGCCAGGCAGGTTGGCTGCTAAGCGCTGAAGACACAGAAAGAGGCTGATCCTCCAGAGGCACCTGGACTGCCTGCCACTCTCCCTCGATCCCTGCCTCCCCTTCTTCCAGCCCACACCCCTCTACGGATCAGAAACAGGAGTGTGGCAGGGGAAAAGGCCACCTCCTGCTGGACGCGCCCTCGGCAAGCCCTGCTGTCCGCCCACAAAGGGCCGCGCCTACTCACCCATCTGTCAGGATGCAGTACTTGTACTTAGTTCCAAGTTCTTTCAGCCTCATCCAGTCCACTACGTTCCGGAGCACCTGAGGGAAGGTGTCGGCTCGGTCCACCATCTCCTGAAGATGTAAAACGTACAAGAAGGGCTCAGCCAATCAGAGGGAGTAAAGGGGGCCGCCGGAGCAAACGCCTTACCTCTCAAGTATGTCCGCTTGTCAGTGCCCATTTCCTGAATCCAAGCCGGCCCGTCCCACCCCTCTCACACAACCCCTCCATAAGGCAGCAGGCCCTGGGGAGGGGGCTCAGGGTTAGGGGTAACTGTCACCAAGCCAACACGAGTGGGGAGTGCAATGACTTTACCACCACCACCCTGAACTGAAGGAGCCTCTGAATTCTCGACTTTACCACAAGGCCAGGGAGCGCAATCAGGAGGCCAGATTTGGCATAAGACAGCCTGTGAACAAGGATGGATAAAACGGGACACCCTGTATCAGGATGGCACCTCTCCTTAGGGTTTGATATCCACGTGACCGACCATCAGCGGCATCCCCGCCATGATGGGTGGAGGAAAACCTTACAAGGTGGTTAACTCCAGCCAGCTGATCTGGGGGACAGAGCTATACATGTCCTCCTGTTCTTTTAAGGAGACCAAAGTCTGAAGAAATCGCTTTGAAGACTGCCAAGTGATAAGGAACACCATCATTTGGATTTTAACTACATCATCAAAAAACAAACAAACCCTTCCCTTCATAAAAGAAAGCCTGCATTTTCAGTCCCGAGCCCAGGGCATAATCACCTGTGTAATTCCTGTGAGGCTGATGCAGAAGTCAGAAAGCTGCGTGTTAATCTCTGGCCTCACGTACTGCTGGAAGGTGTCTTCCTACGAGGCAAAGAGACCACCGGCTCGTCAGCAGGTGAGGACAACAGGCCGTTCTCAAGCCGCGGCACGCGCCCTCACTTATCTTTACAACTGAAGCTAGGCTACAATGAATTACAGTTAGCTGGCTTGGACAATCTGGAGACTTCCAATAGTCCTGGAGACAATCAGCTTTTTAGAACCAGTTAATAAAAGGCAGGAGGAAGTGACAGGTGGGTGCGACGCCCAGGCTGAGCTGATCTGTCCAGACGCCACAAGCGCAAACGGCAGACGGCTCGGCTGCCGAGGGCCCCCCCGATCTCTGCCACGACAGCAACTCACAAAGAGGAAGCACCCGGAAGCGCCCTCTCTGGGACCCCAGGTGGAACCAGTCTCTCTCCGGCTCCTCACACACCCCACCTCAGCCTGTTCCTCTGCCTCCCAGAGCCTCCGGGGTCACGGCCGCAGCCACTGCCGACGCCCTATGGAGACCTTGCACTGCCAGGGGCAGAGAGCTCGCCCAGGCCCAGGGGGGAGCCGGGACGGCTTGAATGCCTTTAGCAGTGGGGAACTGACTACTTCTTAAGGCCGTTTATTCCACTCCAGGACAGCGCTAAGCATCACACCTTCTGGTCACGCCCTCTGGGAAGGCAAGCATGATAACACTGGATGTTGACAGGCAGCTGCCCCGTGCTCCCTCCCCTCTGCACTCAGGCTTGGCAAGATCTCTTAGGGTGCGGTGCATCAGCTCCCACAGGGCTCGCAGAACCCCAACGCAGCTGTCACCTCCCCGGCCTGACCGCCGATGCCATGAGAGCAGCCCACTGTCGCCACAGTCCTCGCTGGAAGCCACAGCACTAACACTTCACCAGGCCAGCCCCGCAAGTCCACCTTGGTGAGTCTTCCAAAGATCTGAACCCAACCAATGACTGGGCACGCTGGTCTCTCCCAAACACTCTGCTTTCTTAAGCACGGCATCCCAGTGTAATTGGAGAGACGGCCTGGTGCGGCTGGCCCTCGAGGCAGGAAGCTCCCTCTGCTACGTCGCGGCTATGCGACGTGGGCAGCTCCTCTCCCCGCCACACAGGCCTTCGGGGGCCACGGATGGCAGGCGCAGCCTTTCTGGAACTGCGCCCCAGAGCTATGGAACCGTGCAAGCCCTCGGACTTAGCGAGACCATGACCAACACCAAAGAGGGAAGAAAAGTGCCCCCACGTCCAACCACACTCAGGGCAGCTCGCTCTGTGCTCACCCCAAAGCCGAGGCCCCGGGGCGTCCTGCTCAGGGGAATGGCTAAACAAAGAGCCGTGTACGCAGGGAATGGAGTGTTACTATGCCCCAAGAAGCTAGGAAACAGACAATTTCAGAGGCATCTGGGAAGACCTCGACCACACGCTGTCGAGTGAGTTAACCCAATGACAACAACGTCAAAATTTCAACAACTCTGAAAGCCTTGAGGAATGGATCGGTGCTGTGAAAAACAGCACGGGCAGGGCAAAGGCCTGAGCGTGAAGTGCACTGCTCACCGTTGCCAGAGGTCATGTTAAAAAGGACTGCGCATGCTGGGCACTGGGGGTCCCCAGAGAGGCTGGACAGCCTCTGCCCTCGGGCGCTCCTGGCCCAGTGGGGAGCCCAGAGTCAGAAAACAAGGTCGCCTCCGAGGGAAAGCACCAGCATGAACGAAGGGGGATGGAGATGCAGAGCATGCCAGGCCTGGAGGACCGCCAGAGAAAATGCCCCATCTGGGGGAGTGACAGATTGGGATTTAAGCTTTCAAATGGTCTGAGAAAATGTTAGGTAAAAAAGACAAAGTCTGAGGACAGTTCCAGAAGCCGGCTCACCCCGTGCCAAGAAAGTCAGAACTCCAGCCACAAACACCATGGTGCTCAGGGCCCCCCTTTTCTCAGGAGGGTGGCCCCAAAGAAGGCATCCTGGGGGGAGGCAGGGGCCTGAAGGTGCAGCACAGGCGCTCAGGGGCTCAGTGCTGGCTGGCATCTCCTCCAGGTCTGACCCACTGCTCCAGGAGTGGGATCCTGGGACTCGCACCGCCCTGGGCCCTCCTCCTTTCTCCCTCTGGGTTATTTCACTCAGCTCACTCATCTGCTCCCAGACTCAACGATCATCTCTAAGCTAACGTCCAGAACCATCCAGCGCCGACATCCAACTGTCACATCCTTGGCTGCCCTCGGGACGCCTCACACTGGAGGACGTTTACTGCCAACCCCCCCAGGCCCTCGGTCGTTCTGCACTCCTCACTCTCTTTCTCATCCCCCACACATCAGCTGCACCTCTTGGATGGGCCCCTTCTCTCCTCTGAGCCTGGACCACTACAATGGCTACTGGAGGTCTGCCTGCCCCGGGCTCTCCCCACTCCCGTCCACCCTCCGTTCAGCTCCCAAAGGGACTTTCCTAAAGCCCAGGGCCCTCCTGCTCAGTAACCTGCAGGGGCTCCCCGTCGCCTAGGAGATCAAGGTGGACCCCTCCCACCTTCCTAGCACTCTACTTTGTCCCATGTGCTCCCTGACTCTGAACAAGACAGGCCTCTGCAGCCCACCTCCCGGCTTCCTTCAGCACTCAGTTCACAGCCTGCCTTCCACAGGAAGCCTCCCCCCCGCCCAAGGCAGTGCTGCCCTCCGCCGTTTATTTCCACTCTATCCTGGCTGTATCCAGTTTGCGTGGCTGTCTCCCTCATTAGTAGCGGGTGAGCCCCTTGACGGCAGGACTGTTTGGGCCCTTCTTTGTATCCACAGCTACGCGTAGCACGCACCTGCCTGGCGCAGAGATGCCTGACAGTCATGAATTCTGCACCTGCTGTTAGCCACCCCAAGGGTTCCCAGCAGGTGGCTCAGACTGCTGCCAGCTACGCCATTCTCCTGGTTCCTGGCCCGCCCCACAGGTGCCAAATGAGCAATTTACCTGCTCTGTTTCTAAAGGGATCTTCATCAAGTGAGCGGTCACTCCCAGAACCTGAGAAATGTGAGGGACACGACGGCCATCTAGTCCGACCCACGTGCCAAAGGAATGTTCACACTGCCACGGCCCACATGTGGTCACTCGGCCCCTGCCCAGAACCCTCTTCACCTCCTGAGGCGGCACAACGGTTCTCGTGATTAAGCAGCTTTCCCTACCAAGCCTCTGGGTCACCTTAACCTTCCCCTCTGCTACTGGTCCTGGCACAAGCCTGTCCCCTCCTCCATGACCGCCGTCACGGGCTCTGTGTCTTCCCTCAGGCCTGGGTCCCAGCAGAAGCCATCGTTCTCACAGCTAGCGACCCTGCCAAGGGGGGCACCCCCCACTAGCCCACAAGTGACCCTGTGGCTGGCACCCAGCTGGGTCCTGGTCCCTGACCAGAGTCCCAGCAGGAAGGCCAGCTAAGGTCACGCGGAGGACAATGAGGCAGACCTAACGCGTGCGCTGGCCCAGGCTCACTTACGATCTCCAGCGTGTGCGCGTTCAATAAGACAATTGGGAACTCAATGATCTCGTGAGTGAACTCAGGGGGGTTGCCCTCCTCGCAGGTGGCTTCGAAGTCGATGACGCAGATGTAGTCATAGTAGCCGCCGGCATCGCCATCCTCCCGCTGCTGGGTCAACTTCTCCTTCTTGTAGTAGTTCTTGAGACGCTTCTTGAGAACGTCCTTCACGCCCCTGCGGACAGATGAGAAGACGGCTCGCGCTCAGAGCGGACAAACAGGCAGACTGCAGGGACAACCCAAGCCATGGAGAAAGACAGGAGGAAAGGGCAGTGCTGGGATCCCTGAGAATCGGGGAACCTGTGCAGAGCACCCGCAGCGCCAAGGACACCCTCCAACACCGTGCGGTGGGGCTGGAGGACAACAGGACCCCAACAGACCCAGCCCCGCCCGCACTTGGGGCGTTTCTCCTCTGCGGAATGGTTAAGCAAATTGTGGCGGGCTACTGTGCCTGACGGGACACTCTGGGAGGAAACTGGGGTGATCCCCGTGAACCGAGGCTGAGAGCAGGGGGCCAAACGAGGGGAACGTGGAGAAAGACCACTCTGAACGACGTCACCACAACTCCACACAACGATGGGATTTACTCAGCCAGAGGGGATGAACTTGAAATGCAGAAAGAAACCCGCGTTCTCAGACCTGGCTAACGCGGGAATTTGTTCTGCTCAGCTGTGTAGATAGGTATGGAAAGAGAAAAGATTCGGTTTTGGGGTTTACCTGTTTGTTTTCAGTGTGCCCAATGGAGGAAGGGAATAGTGTGGGGGGGCATATTAATTTAACACACACACACACACACACACACACACACAATTCTGGAAGAATAAAAATCATAAAATGAAAAAAGACAGATAAAAACAACGTAGAAGGAAACAGGACTTAAAACATTTAACCAGACCTAACACGATCAAACGTCTAACAGGAATAGTATTGTAATGCCCACTAAGAGCTCCCCGTCCAATGAAACAGCACCCGCGACACCTGCTCTTTCACTGTACACGCCTATTTCTCCAGCATCCACAGGGGTTCCAACCCATCCCTTCTCTCCTCAGTCTGAACCTGGCATTCAATCACACAAGTGCCCATGTTACACCCTGGGCTGGGCAGGCTCCAGGAGACAAAAAGTGGGATTTATACCACACCACAAAGTGTAGGCTTGAGTACAAACAAATCTAGATATGAAACTCTCAGGCCCGAGTACCCAGCACCAGGGGGCTTCTTCCCTTTCTTCTGCCTGCTGAGCCGAGCACCCCAAGATCTTATTTTGACAGATCATCAGATCGCCGACTGAGGGTTGGGAGGGCCCTGAGAAACGTTCAGTCCTTCCAAAGTTGGGCACAAAGTGCTTACGAGGTCTTCCTAGGCCATCAGCTGTGCCGATAAGATCCTCACTTCAGCTTTAGAACTGGAAGGGGCTGCCATAGAGGACAGCTGGCACAATCCCCTCATGTGACAGTGGAGGAAATGAGGAGAGACACTGAGTGACCAGCCCGAGCTCACAAAGGTAGCGGGCGACAAAGTTAACTTTCTGTTCTGTTTCTGTAGGACACGGCCTTCCTGCCTCCCCATGGCTGGCAGGACAGCGACAACACCAAGCAGCACGGAGCTGGCCGGCCCCTCTGGCTGGGGATGGACTCCACGTGGCCACCCCAGCGGTGTTAGTCCCGCAGGGCTCAGGCCCCCAGACCACCTGTGCCTCCTTAGCAGTGCCAGAAGATGAGCCCCAGCGCACAGGATGCAAACACAGGTCCCTTCTCCTCTTCCGTAAAGTGAGGATGCTGACCCGGCACAGGGGTTCTCAACACAGCCTCCTCTGGCGGGCTGGTGTCACCCAGAAATTTCGGATCAGAATCACATTTTTTAAATGCATGAGATAAATACACGGAATTACAAAGGAAATCAATTAATTATACTGAAATAAAGATGTGATCTTTTTTCCCTATCAAGGGGCTCCAAGGCAGGTTAAAAACTCCCGGGCCACCTTGTCTGCAGGTCCCCTCCGGGCTGGCTGCAGATGAGTTAGGTTTAAAAGGCAACATTAGCTGTTCTGTTGCCTTTCAGTGTATTTTGTTAACAATTTCCCAATCTCCTTTTAATCTGGCCAGGCCCCCTGTGGAGTGGTGGGGGAGGCGGTGTGTTCCACACCTCTGCTGTAACCACCAAAGGCCGAAGCAGGCGAGGAAGTTACAACCTGAAAGTCCACTGTGCCGAACTCAGAAAGAACTGAACATTTCTCATCTGGAATGAAGGAGGCTCTCTCCCAACGGGCAGATACGAACATTCCTCCTTGGGCACACTCAGACCCTTCTTCCCTCCTACCTCCCTTATTACGTGGAGGGCAGCCCCACTCTCCCAGTGCCTCAGGCTCCCAACCAAGGAGTCCTCCTCCATGCCTCTCTCTCACACACACACACATAACCTCTCCTCTGACCCTGCCCCAGCCCAGTGCAGACCCTCAGCGCCTCCCATCTGGACTATAGAACTGGCTGCTGGGGGGTGGTCTGCCTGCCTCGGGTGTCCCCCCACTGCAGCCCACCCTCCAGCAGCCACCTAAAGCCCAGGTCCGACCATGTCATCCCCCTACTCAGTGACATCCACTGGCTCCCCATCACCTCTGGTATCCAACATAAAATGCTCTGCTTGGCCTTCAAAGCCCTTAGCACCTGTCCTGTCACTCCCATGCCCCCGGCCTCCAGGCCATTCCTCCCACAAGGCCCTCTCGGACTGCCCCTCAGCCTCCTCTGCTCTGACTACTGACCTCCCTGGCTCCATCATGCTTCCCCCCTCTTCATTCCAGCATCTTCCCTTGTCAGGCATCCCCTAGTTACCCCGTGTACAGCTTGTCGGTACAGAGGTGTTTGCAGGCTGTCCTCCCCCCCACCACAGACTAGAAGCTCCCTGAGGGCAAGGACTTATAGTAGGCCTGCAACAAGTGTTTACTGACTGACGCCACCCAATGCACCCAATGAACCAAAGCCAGACACAAGCCAGAACCTTTTCTCTCCCTCCCTCCTGACAAGCCAGTTGTCTGGGCATCACTGAGGCCTTCTCCTCATCTAACGTGGCTAAAACCCAGGCCCAGGGAGGTCCTCAACGGCAACCCAAGCTTATGAAAGCAAATATTCCCTCCAAATGGGGGCAATCAAGCCCCAGGTGCGAGTCTCTTCTGTCAATCTGGCCCAACTTCCTGAAGGGTGTTTGGTCAGGGCTCGGTGAAAAACACTGAGGAAATAAGCCGGGTGAGACAATTTTAGGGAAGGCTGAGGTGAGTGGGGGGGAGCCTCTCCCAATTCCTGGCCAAAGAAAAACAGGCACACCCTGAAATCTGCCACTGAATGATCACCGGGGAAGGAAAAGAAATCCCAGCCACGGAGCACTGGCACCAAACCAGCCGCTCCTTGGTTGTGAATGGTCAAGTTCGTCACGCCTCAGTTTGTCAATCCAGGATCACGGGGTCACAGATCCAGAGTTGGAAGGGACCTCTCAGGGGCCTAAGCCAACCCTCCCTCTCCCCCATTTAGAAGACAATATTCACAAAGTGCCTACTGTGTGCCAAGAGGTTTACAATCATTGTGTCGCTGGAGCCTCACAACAGCCCTGAGGCAGTGACTTGCTCAGGATCACCCAGCTAGGTAAGGGAGGTCACATTTGAACTCGGGTCTTCCTAACTCCAGGCCCAAAGCTCTACCCCCTGGGCCTTCAGAGCTGGCCTGGTGCCCAGGGCTCCTCTCCAAATCCAGGGCTGCCCCCTGGCGTCCGATGCCTGCCACGAGACAGATACCCCTACCAAAGTAACCGCCTGCTCTCTCTTCTTTCTCAATCCGGCCGCTTTTCAAGTCAAGACTAAACCAAAAACCAGAGGCCCTAACGCGAACCGGAGGAATTTAAAACTTACCTGGTTTCCAGCTTGAATTCTGAAAGTTTAGCTCGGAGCTCTTCCTTACTCATCCGATTAATGTAACCATTGGTGACGGCAATCTCTTTGTACACTGGGTCGCTGAAATCACTGGGACTGGAGACGACAGCTTTCTTTCCGTTTCTTTCTTGCCTGTCAAGGTGGCACTGTTGTTTACCCTGAAAAAAAAAAACACACAGAAGGCTTCTCTGACTGTGGGAAAGTTCCAGAGGAGCCCGCGCCACAGGCCTTGCCTTTGATACAGTGTTACCTCCCGGGCTGGAGGCTGCTACATTCCTGCAGCGGGCTATGGGGGAGGGGGGCCAGAGCCGGCCACCAAAGCCCCCCCCCAGGACCTGGAGCAGCCCAGGACCCTCCTCAGGTTTCTCACGGGCTCGGCAGGGCATGGGAACTGAAGCTTTGGGCCGGCCTGGGTCAGGGTAGGTCCGAGAAGCCGGCACTCGAACGTGGGTCTTTACAACTCCCCACGTGAATCCCCGCCCTTGGAAGCCACAGGGGGCCTGAGACCTTTGTCGGAGGGGATCCCCCCCCCAATTCAGACTCTCTACTTGGTTTCGGAAGCTTTTATCGAGCAATGGGTCTGGTACAACGCTTAGCGCCCACGCGGCCCCGCTTAACAAATGCTCGCTGGCAATTAACAAATGCACGCTGGCAATTAACAAATGCGGGGGGGGGGGGGGAGAGAATATTCAACAACACGCGAGACGAGACGAGGCGTGTGCTGGGTCCGAGGGGCCAGGCGGGGGCGGACCTCGCGTGGGAGGCCTCGATCGCGCCCGGGGATGGAGCCCCTGCTGGGGGGAGAAGCGCGGGAAGCACGTGGAGGCGGCCCGCACGCCTGCGCACACGGAGCAGGCTGGTGGGGGGAGGGATGGGGGGTGAACGACCCCCTCCGAAGGAGGCGCCTGCGCAATCAGGCCAGGCCGGGGGCGGGGGGAAGGAGTGACCCAGCGAGAGGAGGCGCCTGCGCAAAGAGGGGCGCAGGTCTAAAGAGAGGGTCTGAGGGGGAGGCCGAGGGGACGCATGCGCGGCAAACCTGACTCATTCCCGCCGGCGTGAGCTCCTCCCGGGGGACCGGCCCGTCGCTGCCCCGGCGAAGCTGGCTCTCCTGACCTTCCCCAGCGGGCGGCCGGCCGCTGCATGCCTCCATCTCAGCCGGACCCGTAGACCCCGAGAGCTCGCAGCTGTGCCGCACCAGCCTGGCTCTCCAGCACCCCGCCCCCACGCCGAGCAATCGCTAGGACAAACTCCCGCCTCCGGGGTCGAGCGCGGGCTGGCGTGGGCACGCAGCGAGCCGGGCGGGCGCGCACGCACACGCATGCGCCGATGCGGCGTGCCTCGCTCCGCCCTTCCTGCCGGGCCGCGCGCACAGGAGGGGAGGGAAAGAGAGGAGCCGAAGGAACAGTACGAGTCACGTGACGATGGGGCGAGCCGTAATAAATAGGGCCCCGCCCCTCGCGCGCCTCCGAACCACAGCCCCCTCCCGATTGGCCTGCCCTCCTGCAGTCCCGCCCCTTCCCAAGCCAGCCTCCAGTCAGAGCCCAGTGTGGTCCTCCTCAAGCTCCTTCCATGCTCCAGAACCTCGTGGGGCGCTCCAGTGCCTAAGGACCGGGTTGCCGTCCTCACTGCTTGGCGCCTCCCCATCCTTTACGCCCGCGCCACGCCCTGTGGTCCTAACTAGTGGAAGCAGATGCTGCATCTCCTGCCTCCGAGGCTTTGCACTTGTCCCGCTTGCCTGGATGCCGTCCCTCATTCCCTCAGCTTCTTACCGTCCAGGGTTTCCTTTAGCATTGAACGGGAGGGCTGCGCACTGGGGGAGCCCTTCCTGCTCACACCTAGCACGCTGTCCCGTACACACGTGTGCAAGCGCACGTCTTGTCTCCCCGGTAGAGCGTAAGCCGCCTGAGGGCAGGCCCTCTTCTCTTCCAGCTTGTCTGCCCAGCCCCCAGATGCGCGGGCACTGATGGGCAGTGCCCAGGCAGAGATAGGGAGGAAGGGCTGCGGCTCCCCCCAGCTTCATCCCTTGGTGCCCCGGCGAAGGTGGGCAGAGGTCTCCAACCAGACGTCCGGCTTGCTGAGGGGGTGCCCGGGCACTCTGGCAGAGCGGGGGCCGGACTTTGGCAGGGGAGCTGAGGACACTGATGGAGTCCCGGGCTCACACCCACTCCTCTGACCTCATTTCTTCTCTTTTGGTATAGCTGTCCTTGGTGCTGGAGGAGGCCCAAAGCGGCCTCAGTGTGTCTCGCCTGACATCAGACCAGACAAGCTCAGAAGGCTCTAACAGGCAGGCACAAGTAGTCCACCCGCACGTGTGGAGTGGAGGTGGCTCTCCATGGGCACACCTCACTTCCTCTTGAGCACGGCGCCATCTTTGATGGGGGCCAGCCTTGCCCAGGTCACTCAGTCAGTTCCACAGTTTTTCGGAGAGACCTTGAGCATGTCCTCGCATCACTTCTGACTCCCAGGTGAACGCTTGCCTTGTGTGAGTGCTCCACAAAATAGTTTTTCAGGCAGACGTACGTTGGCATTCAAACCATGTGGCGAGAAGGTTGGGTTCTCTGCAGTAGACTTTGAATACTTGGCAGTTTAGCTCAACAATGGACCCCAGTGTCTGGGCCCTCATCTTGCTGGGTGATCTTCAGAATCTTCCCAAGACAATTCAAATGGAGACGATTCCGTTTCCTGGCACGGCTCTGGTGCACCGTCCAGGTTTCACAGGCCAGCACAACAGCTCTGTAGACCTTCGGTTCTGCCTAGGTTCCCTAGGCAGTCTAATACATCTTCTCTCCCTCGCCTTCCTTCGGAGACTCCCAAACGCTGAGCTAGCCCTGGCCTCATCTTCATCATCTGTGTGGACATCCCTGGCAAGTACACTGCCGAGGTAAGGCAACTTACCACAGCTCTTGAAATGTCTACATTTGCTGTCACTGATGGTTCCATGTACGGACAGCGTGTTGCTGGCTGGTGGAGAACCTCTGTTGTCTTGCTGTTCATTGTCAGGCCAAAATTAGCACGGGCAGCAGAGAACTGATCCATACTCTGTTGCATCTCAGCCTCCAAGGGTACACTGAGGAGTCTTTCCAGGTTTCTCTGAATCCCTTGATCTTCCATTCCACTCTTAAAATAGTAATTATAATAATCATAGTAGTGTTTAGAAAGCACTTTACTGATCCTCACAGCCACTCTGGGAGGTCGGGGCTATTAATGTTCCCATTTTACAGATGAGCAAACTGAGGCAGACAGAGGTGCCGTGACCTGCCCGGGGTCACACAGCAAGAAAGAGTTCACGTCTTCCTGACTCGCTCTGTCCACTGGGCTATCTAACTGCCCGCTAAATTTTAGCATTAGTATAGACAGCATCATTTGTTCTCTGTATCCCAGCTGAGCAGCCCCACCCTCGTTCCAGTCCTTTCCCACAACCAAAAGTGCCCTTCTAAATGTCTTGGGGCATGTAGGCCTAGTCGTGGTACAGCTTGAGCAAGGGGTGATTTGGGGGTGTCTCAAAGGGACCCAAAAGTCAGTGCCTTTTTGTAAACTAAATATACCAACATTGTAAATATCACTCGAATAAGATATTTACATTTATTTGAATAGTAAGTACTGATAGCGCTTGATGCAGACATAAATCCTGGCACAGCCGGTCTGTAGTCTTGGGGAGGACTGGCCACCCTGGGGGAAGGGGGGCAGGGGCCGCAAGGTCAGAGGATTCTGAGGCTCAGCTCCTGCAGCATCTCCATTTCACAGAGGAGGGGCCCGAAGCCTAGAGAACAGGAGGTACTCTTTGCCCACGAGCCCCAGATCAGGGTCCGCGGTGGCTGGCCCTCCTCAACCCAAACAAGAAAGTGAAAGAGAACTTGGAGAAACCAGGAGTGCCAGAGTCCCATTTCCTGCCTGGCCCAGATGGCATGTGCACCGTATCCCACTAACAAGGGCCTGGGGATTCAGCTGACCTGGGTGCAGTCCGGGGCCGGGCTCAAAAGATGGGAATTAGCTATTTCTGATATTCTCGACCTCCCTAAGCCCACACCTGCCTCAGACGCTTCCGAGCTAGGTGGCACCTGTTTGCCTCAGTTTCCTCATCTGTAAAATGAGGAAGTTGGCCTCCAGGGTCCTTTCCAGCTGGTTCCCTAGGCCTGGCATGCTCTCCCTCCTCCCCTCTACCTCCTGGATTCCTTTAAGACGACTTACTTCCACCCTCTTTCCAAAAGGCTTTTCCAGTTCCCCCCTCAGTTGAGAAATGCCTTTTCTGTGTTGATTTTCTCTAGCTGTCTTGCTGTTTTCACGTTGCCTCCCTCACTGGCCTGTGACCTCCTTGAGGGCAGGCAGGGACCAGGTTTTGACCTTTGCATCCCTCGCCCTCACTTGGCAGATAATGAATGTTTGTTGACTGCCTAGCTGACCCCTCCACTCAAGCTGACTTGGAGAAGGGATGGCTAATCTTAGCTCCTACTCTGTCTTTGTTCTCTCTGCCCAGAAGCCTGGTCTTTAGGACAGAAGAGTCTCATCAAAACTGACTGATGACCAGTTGATTCAAAGTATAAGGAAGAAGACAGTGAGGGAGGACCTGGTTACCCTTGGCTCATTTCCATCCAATTCACCAACAATGTACTAGTTCAGCTTAGGGCTCTGTAGTGGGATGGGGGCAAGCTCCAGGTCAGGAAGGTCAGGGTTCAGAGATCCCCTAGACAAGTCCAGGCTGTATGTCCCTGGGCCAGTAGTAAACCTCTTTGTGGCCCCGGGCAGTTAGCTCTCTAAGGCTGTACATTGCAGGATATTTGGACATCTCCAGAGCTGCCCTGGGGCAGGGATTCCCATAAGCGGGATTCTCCTGTAAAGACAAAATTGTGGTTCTGAACCTGAAAAATGATGTTCCTGGCTGGAGATAAGCTGGAGATACAAAGACCCAAACAGCCCCTGCCTTCAGAGAGCTTACAGTCCTCTGAGAGGAGATAATGGAACACAAAGTACATACGAAGTAAACACAGAATTATTCTGGAGGGAGGGGAAGGGAAGCCCCCCAGCGGGAAGGAGAACAAGAAAGTTCTCTGCTGGGAAGGCAGGCCGGCAGGCAGACAGACACAGACAGACAGGCGGGCCGGCAGGCAGACAGACACAGACAGACAGGCGGGCCGGCGGGCAGACAGACACAGACGGGCGGGCGGGCGGTGCCGCCTGGGCTGAGCTGAGAGGAAAGCTCTGTCCCTGGTGGCAAAGGCGAAGAGGCGTGGGGGCCAGGAGTGAGACCTTGGGTCGAGGCGAGGAAGGCAGCCCATTGGGCAGGAAGGCAGAGCAGGAGGCCAAAGGGGAAGGCCTTGAAATGTCCAAGGGAGGAGTTCGAGGGGGTTTTGTATGTGTTCTTTTCTTTTAATCCCAAGCTTCTTGAAGAGGGCAGTGACATGGTCAGACCAATGCTTTGGGAATATCAGGTGGACAGCTGTGTGGAGGAGGTATAGGAGGGGAGGGAGGCTGGATGCAGGGAGACCACTTCTTAACCTGAGGGCTATAGACCAACAGATTTCAGGGGGGAAACAATTCCATCTCTATTTCCCCTAACCTCTAACTGAAATTTGGAACTTATTTCCATTAGGAATGTAGGCAATGAAACATGGCTCTGAGAAGGGGTCCCTAGGCTTCAGCAGACCACCAAAGGGGCCAGGGCATGAAGGAGTATGTAGAGAGAACCCACTGTGTGCCAGGCACTATGCTGAGTGCTTCCTTGGGTGCTCACCACAAGCATTCGAGGGCAGCGTTTGTTAAACACTCACCAGGTGTGAGTGCCAGGCACGGCTCTGGGCTCTGGGCTCCATCCATCCAGTGATGTGGGGGCTGGGGAGGGCCCTAGCAGCCAGGGTGACCCGAGGGAAGGTCTTCCCATAGAAGATTCAGCAAGCACTGACGAAGCACCTAGCTAGCTCCCCAAGCATGCAGGAGCAAAATGAAACTGCAGGCTTTGCCCTCCAGGGGCTTCCATGCTATTGGGGGAAGATGACCCATACAATGTAGTTTCCCAAGAGGAGGAGCAGGAACATTTGGGGAGACTGAGGCAGGCCTCCTGGGGAGCGGCCCTGTGGAGGGACCAAGAATGACGTGGTGTAGACAGACGGTGGGGCTGGAGCTGGCCTTTGGACAGGGTGGAGGTGCTGGGGAGTGCAGCCAGCCATAGGGATGTACATGCCAGGTGGGGGGGGGTAGTTTGGCCTAGACATTCGACGGGCCACGGAGCTTCATGGCAG